GCTGCAGCCCAGCCCCCGAGGATATTCCAGTGACACTCAACCTGAGCCAGAGAAACTGTATTTTCAAACGGAGTTTCCACTGAGAGTCAGTCGTATCGACCCAGTGGTATGACTCCTGCTTTACACTGAGGTGCTGTCAGGGCTGATTCCCACTATGGCACTTCCAGTGCAGTGGTGCGGGAGAGACACAAGGACTCCACAAATTAATACTGGCCCCTCCGGGCAGGTGATGCTGCCACCACCCAAGTGAAAACTGCCTTTTGCCAACCCAGAAAAAACCCTCACTTGGGAAGAATATTTCTGAGGCCCCTCAGCTTCATCACCCCTCCCTTGGGGCAGCGGGGAAAGAAAACAAAAGAAAGGAGAAGCTCAGCGGTTGTAACTGCTGATTGCCTAACGCAGCCTCTTTACGTCCTGAGACACAGAAATCAAATCATGGTCTTAAAAAAGGTAAATTTTATTGAAAAAACAAATAAAACACAACTGAAAACTCTGGCTGTTAGGGATCAAACAGCAAAAACGACTTGCTTGGGGTTCAGCTTAAAGGTTACGTGCAAGCAACAGCAAAACAAAAGCACCTGGGTTAGCACAGAATGAAGAATTAAATCTAATTGCATCTAACTAGTCATTGCTCATCTAGTTACATATCTGTGGTTTCAAATGAGTAGTTTCTTGGTATGATGCTGATGATCTTTATGCCTGGCCCAAACCTTACAGCATGTTGCTGTCCAGTCTGCTTCTACCGGACAGACTGAAGACCCCCACACCCAGCAGTTTTCCCCCATTTGAAAGGTACAGCTTCCCTATTGGTTCCCCTGGTCAGGTGCCAACTCATTTTAAGCTTCCCTCTTAACCCTTTACAGGTAAGGCAATTAGAGAGCAGCTACTAAGAAGGATTTTGTAGCTAACTGAATGGTTGGGGAGTTACACAAGGGTGCTACCCCCTACCCCATTTATCACAAGTGCATAATAACAGAATAACTCACTTTGATTCCAGAGTATATGGGGCTCTATTTTTAAAGGGATTCAGGTAACTTTGAACGCATTTGGAAATGCCAGGCTGCCTAATTCCTGTTGAAATGATTAAGTTTTAGTTGCTCAGATGCTTCTGAAAATCCCACTAGGCATCTTATGAAAAATGTGTCTCTTATTCCTGATTTACAACAGGACGAGAGGAGAACCAGCCCAAGTTAAACCAGTGGACTTACTCCTGAATCACACCTGGCCTTTGTTTGCCAGAAGCTGGGAATGGGCGACAGGGGATTGATCACTTGATGATTCTCTGTTCTGTTCATTCCCTCTGGGGCACCTGGCATTGGCCACTGTCGGAAGACAGGATACTGGGCTAGATGGGCCTTTGGTCTGACCCAGTGTGGCCTGGGTCTTATGAGTGAATGAGGAGAGTCAGGCCTGTTAACTCCATTGAGACTACTCACAGTGTAAGTCACTACTCAGTGTATAAGAAGTCCTCATAATTTAGAATATTTTTATAGTGAAACTTTTGTTGTTAATTACCAGACTTTTAATTTGGAACTTATTTGGTTCAACTAAGTCCAAAAAGAATGTTTTTCTTTAGAATCTCCAATGGGCTCTGTCGCACTCGTCTCTGAGCGCCTCACGAGCATTAATCAATGTATAGACACAGCAGCCATGAGTGGTAGGAAGCCATCGCTGTCTGTGCTTTGCGACTGGTATAGGGAGTTAAGAATGATTAGACGGTGGCTTGTTCACAAGCCACCCTCTTGTTCACGAGGGTTTAGAAGAAAATTCCCCTGTGGATAGGTTATTCCCTAACTACTGGGGTCTGGCTTGCACCTTCTTTCTGAGCATTTTGTATTGGCCGGTGTTGGTTAGATGAGAAGGTCTGATTCATTAGAGCACTCCCTCTCTTCCAGTCACACCCGGAGTACTTAGCAGTGCTGGCAATAGAGGTTTTCAAAGGTGCCAAAGGGAGTTAGGCGCACAGTGCCCAATGAATTTCAAAGGGCGTTGGGGACCTCACTTCTTTAGGCAGCTTTGGAAACTCCCAGCCTGAACACAGATCCCCTGTGTCCCACTCTACTGCTCTAACCACAAACAAACCAGTCGGTGGAAGGGAGAGAAGAAAGCTGAAGGGGAGAAGGGAAATTTCTGAAATGCAAAATCATTTGCCTGCCTAGGAGGATATAAGCACTTGGGGTGATAAATGACATGTAGCTAAAGCTTCTGATATCGGCTGGTTATTTTCTAATTGCCCCCTGCATCTGCCCCTGAAATGTCTGTTGCACATTAGATTAACCCCCTGGTTGTATGTGATATAACAGTATCCCTGTTCTGTTCCTTTCACAGGCTGCGGGGCCGCGATCACTCTAACCCAGCCGAGTTCTGCCCAGGCAGCGCCAGGCAGTTCCCATACCCTGGATTGTGTCGTCTCTGGGTATAATATCAATGACCACCATTTGAGCTCGATCCGACAAGCGCCTGGGAAAAGTCCTGTCTCGCTAGGAGCCTTCAGAACAGGTTACACCCCCTACATGGTGTATGAGTTCAGAGGACGGGTTACCCCACGCACCAGCGGCGCCCGTGTCAGGCTAAAGATAAACAGTCTCACAGCTGCAGACACGGCTACTTACTAGTGTGCCAGCCATGCACAGTGGTCGCTGCCTGGCTTCATCTCCTACAACATCCCTTGTGGAACTGGCCTCCTCTCACTTAACACATTTTTCTCTTTGCATGAACTTCACCCCAGGCATAAGTACAGTAGAGGGGCCAAGCATCACTGGTCTCTCACACCAGTGCTCAGAGTACGGGTTCCTTGGGGAACAGGCCTTGCTCTGCTGCCTCTCCAAAGGCAGAATTTTACCCAGAGATTTGTGGCTTTGGTCTCTGCAATTTCAACGTGAGTCAATCAAATCAACTTGTGATCCGGGAGCAGCATCGTTGCAGGTTAGGCCACCAGAGTGGAAATCGTGAGAATTTGTAGATCAGTGTCACAGCCTAGAAGAGAACCAAGGTGAAGTGACGCAAGTGACTCCCTTTGTCTGGCTTGTCTGTTTAGAGTGAAACCTCTTGGGTTCAAGGCCTGTCTCCTGTGGCGAGTAGGGGCAGCACCCGGCACACTGGGACCCTGATCTTGGTTGGGACCCTTCAGGTGTTACAAAAATGCCAAGAATAGTGACCCGTGGATTTGAACGGCAGAAAGGACCCTTACGTGAGACCGTCCCACCCAGTGGGTTCTGCATCCAGAAGAAATGCTGAGCTGGAGCACTCAGTGGTAAGGCGCATGGAGGACAGAGTCACAGCTTCTGAAGCCGGAAAAACCATTCTGAGAACATTTTGTCTCTCTGCATGACACACATCCCAGGCATTTCTGTAGCAAACCTTTGTTTGAGACACAGCGTGTCTTTTGAGCTGCAGTGTATGTATCCGATATTGGTGACAGTACTGGACAGGGAGGGAGGTGATCTTAACTCCAATTCTAATCTGCCACCAGTCTGGCATGGTGGAGAGTGAACATGAATTCCTTGGTGCAGAGGTCTCCAGAAGGCAGCAGAACTTGGCGAATGAGACAGAGAAGTCTATTGCGTAGTGACCAGGCGGAAGCAGGAAAGGGTCAGGAAGTGATAGCATGCAGTGCCCTGTACAATGACCATGAGTTGTTAACGGAGGTAGGGGCAGGGCCGCCGGGGAGGGGGGCAAATGGGGCAATTTTCCCCAGGCCTCTTGTGCCGCCTCCGCCTTCCCCCATCCCCCGGCGCCTCAGCGAGCCGCGTCAGGAGCGGTCCTGGAGATCGCTGTGGGCCTGAGCTCCTCCCACAGAGTCAGAGCCGCATCGTAAGGGGGCGGGGCTGTGAACTCCGGTCCTGCCGAGCCACGCCCTGCAGCGCTGTCTAGGGACCAGGGCAGCTCCTGGATATGGCACGCTGAGGCTCCGAGAGAAGGGAGAGGCAGCGTTAACCCAGGAACGGCCCTGGACAGCGCTGCTGGGGGCAGTCAGGGGACGGGGAACCGGGGTTAGATTGTGGGCATTCCGGGGCTCTGTCAGGACTTGGTTGGTGGGTGGATAGGGGTCGGGGCAGTCAGGGGATGGGGGGGGGGTTGGTGGGGAGTGGGGTCCTGGGG